CAATCCTTTATCTGTCATTCTAAAAAAAAATCAACTTACTGGCCCTAATTATACTGATTGGAAGAGGAACTTAGACATTGTGGCGATCACTGAGGCTTGCCCGGCAGAGCCTGCGGCTGATGCTCCTGAACAGGAGAAAGAGGAGTATGCTCGGTGGAAGAAGGCTGATGAGATGGCGAAGTGTTACATTCTGGCATCTATGTCAAATGTTCTTCAACATCAGCATCAGTCTAAGAACAATGCGGCAGATATACTCCTCAATCTCAGGAATCTGTTCGGACACCAGTCAAGGGCTGCTAGGCAAGAGGCTACGAGTGCTCTGATGACTACGCGCATGGTCGAGGGCACACCCGTAAGGGAGCATGCTCTCAAGATCATGGCGTTCCTCAATGAGCTTGAGGTTATGGGAGGTTTTATCGACGGGGAAACCCTGGTTGATATTATGCTCCAATCTCTTCCAAAGAGCTTTGATCAGTTCCGGTTGAACTACAACATGCACAAGATGCATATGGATCTTCCAGAACTGCTAGCAAAGCTTCAGTCAGCGGAGGCCTGATTCCCTCAGACGCCTCACGCACTGGTTGCTGAGCAGACTGGACCTTCTAGGCCTCATAAGGGCATGAAGAGAAAGAAGTCTGTAGGAAAGGCGAAGGTGCAGGATGCCCCAGTTGCACAACGTCCGACCTCTCAGGTAGTGGCAAAGAAGCCGAAAGGTAGATGCCACAAGTGCAATAATTCAGGACACTTGAAGGTCGACTGCCCTCTCCTCAAGAAAGGTAACTCTCTCGTTAATGTCGTGTAAACATGTTTAGCGGTTGTATCTATCAGAACCTGGTGTGTAAATGTTGGAGCCACTGATCATGTCTGCAATTCTTTGCAGGGGTTCCAGGAAACCAGACGGCTTAGGAAGGGAGAGATCACCGTCTACATGGGCGATGCTACGAAAGTGGCAACTGTTGCAGTGGGAGACGTTACTTTATCTTTTGATAGTAGTATTTTGGTTTTGAGACATTGCCTTTATGTTCCTAGTTTTAGAAAGAACCTCATTTCAATTTCTAAACTTGTTATGAATGGGTTTTCATTTACATTTAATGATATGCTTATTATTCGCTATGGGAAATGTTTCATATGTTGTGGTTCATTAGTTGGCAATTTATATGTTCTAAAACCAAACTCTCCCACACTACAAAAAAATGAATTTAATAATGTCGTGACTTAATCTAATAAGAGGAAGGAATCTTCGAGTATGAATCAAGCATCTCTTTGGCACCTTAGACTTGGACACATCAAACTTAGGAGGATTCAAAAGTTAGTGGCCAATGGACTTCTCGGTCCATTGGAAGAGCACTATCCAACTTGCGAATCGTGCCTAGATGGTAAGATGACCAAGAGGCCGTTTTCGACAAACGGGTATAGGAGCCAAGAAGTGCTAGGATTGATTCATTCTGATTTGTGCAGTCCTATTTCGATACAAGCTAGAGAAGATTTCTAGTATTTTGTCTCTTTTATTGATGATTACTCGAGATTTTGGTACATTTATCTGTTGCACCGTAAGTCCGAGTGCTTTGAGAAATTCAAGGAGTATCGGGCAGTTGTGGAGAAGCTTCATGGTAAAAGTATCAAGTCGCTTCGATCTGATCGAGGTGGCAAATACCCTTTTGGAGAGTTCAGGGCATACTTATCGGAAGTTGTGATTGAGTCCCAGTTGACTGCACCCAACACGCCCCAGTAGAAAGGGGTTGCAGAGCGAAGAAATATGACTCTTATGGAAATAGTTAGGTCAATGATGAGTTATTATAGATTACTAGATTCATTTTGGGGATTGGCGCTGGAAACAACATCGTGCGTTTTGAACTTGGTTCCATCGAAGTCAGTAGAGACTACTCCTTACGAATTGTGGAAAGGGCGTAAGTCCAGTTTCTCACATATTCGAGTATGGGGTAGCCCTGCACACGTTTTAGTGCAGGAAGCTGGAAAATTAGAAAAACATTCAGAAGCACGAGTTTTTTAGGGTTATCCCAAGGAAACGAAAGGTGGATTATTTTATAGTCCCGAGGATCAGAAGGTGATCGTTAGCACGAACGCTAGATTCTTGGAAGAAGACTATATTATGAATCACAAGCCCGCCAGTAGACTAGTCTTAGAGGAGTTAAGGGGAGAAGTCAATAGTTCCCCACCGAGTGCACAAGTAGATACATCACATAATACTGCAACACGTCACACTAAGAGTGTACCAGTGCATACAGTACCTCATCGTAGTGGGAGGGTTTTTCAGTTACTCGACCGATGGATAGGTCTTGGAGAGTCTAAGGGCTCAGTTCCAAGAAACCTAGAATCGGACCCAAGAACCTATCCATCGAAATAAATTGCATATTCTAATAGAAATTCGTACTGTAATAAATCGCTAGAAAAATAGCCGTTGGAACCGTCAAATTCCATCTAAAATCCTACGGAATATTTTCATTCGAATCTTCGTTGAGATCATTTCAATGTAAGCTATATCATTGGAATATCCGTTTATAGTTCTATTGGAAGATATTACCATTGGATTTTCCGTTGGAATATAACAAATTTTTAAGAGCATAAAGTTATCTCATAAAATAAAATATAAATGTCACTACATAATATTCTTTCTTTTTTTTTGCCAGAACGATACAGGATCTATTATAAACCAAAACGCACAAATGTGTGAATAAAAATACAAAGCTCCCAACGGGAGAAGAGAAGCAGCCAAAGGCTGAATAAAATGGGAGGATAGGTCTGACGAACGCCTAGAATCCCGACTCTAGCAACGCTAGAAACCTAAATCATAACTCACTAGACAACCAATACAATAACACAAAGAAAAACTACTAGGCTCCCAACAGGAGAATAGAGACAAGAGTTGATCCCAAAGGATAATAAAGGTGCTCCCGCTCAGTTACTGAGGCCAACGGCCCAAACAAAAAACACAAGAACCAAAATAACACAACCACAGAAAGCAAAACAATAACATAATACATACAAGCCCTTCCACAGAGGCAAAGCCGAGACGAGCCGGCAGACACCAATTCTACCTCCGGAGGAATCCTTCAACCCGAGAAAGCCGACCCCCCCACTGCTAAAATGCCTAGTTGAGCCGAATCCGAGCTTCCAAATAACCCCAGAAAATTGAATCTCCCCTTAGCCGGAAGCCCCACGAACTCGCCCAATCGCCGCAGCACCAAGTCGACTAACACCACTAGCAACTCGGAGCCACCGACTGTCTCCCCGGAACTAGCACTAGATAAACGGGAAGAGGAAGCAAATTTGAAGAGCCGCAGCCCTAGCCACTCCTGCCCTAGGCCACGAGCCTCCAGAGCCGCACCTGACCCCACCCATAGATTCCGCCTTCGCCCATTCCACCTCAACCCCGCAGTGCTCAACGATCGGGAGCAAGAATCGAAACCCACCGAAGCAGGCGCCGAAATCAGGTTGAACACAGCCATGAGAGAACCTGGAACCTGGAGGTCACAATCGCCGTGAAGGGGCCAAGCGACCAGGGGACGCCTACCAAAAAACCTCGGATGCCTTGTGGAAGGCGACGAATTTGAAGGCTGAACGACGGATCTGGAGGAGGGGGATGGAGGACGACGGGAGAAGAGAGGATTTTGATCTACTGTATTCCTCTACATAATATTCACAACATACAAAATAGTATAAAGAAATATCAACCAACAAATATACACAGATTTAGAAGGATAAATTAACGACTTGTTTGTCAAACCACCATATAAATTATTGTCTTAAGAAAAAAAGAAATAATGAGTATATTTGTGATAATTAATAACTTATTAATAAATGTCAGGTTTTATGGTATAAAGTCGGCGATTGTATTTTGGTATGAAATGTCTGAATTTAAGTGGTATGAATTTTATTTGGTATGAATAGAAGTGTATTTGGAAATGTTGAAAACAAAATAAGTGGTATGAATTTTATTTGGTATGAGTATAAAAATCGGATTTTAGGTTGTTTTGTTATGAAATCAAGGTGATATGATTCTCAAATTTTATTATATTCATATAATAACTTGCCATAAAATATTGATGATAATTCAACAAATTGATATGTATTTCTGTTGAAAAATATAAAGATCTTTGAACTAATATTCTATCATTCCAGAAAAAAATATATTGGTTAATAAAAATTAAGATTTGTAATTTAATTCTAGATAATTAGTTGATAAATTTGAAAAATATGGTAAACGACAACAAATCTAGAAAATATATAAGATAATTTATTGTGAATTCCAAATATGGGTTCTAAATTTATAAGTCAAAGAAGTAATTATTCAAAACTTACGGTCAATATTGACTTGGACGTAATGGAATAGTCAATTATTTTTAATAAATTACTCAACTATTTAAATATTTTGATTTGGATAGTTTATATAAAAATAAATTCATTTTAATTAATGAAACAATATAGATTTTATAATTATATTTAACATTCACATATATTCTTAAATATATGAAACTTTTACCAAAAAATTTTTTTTATGGAACCACATTAATGTAGTCAAATCGATTTTTTGAATAAAAATTTCAAAATGATACTTATTCTGAATTGAATATAATGTAATTTATTATCAGTTACGTGTACCCGTATAGAGTGTACTAATTTTGAACAGATATGATTAATGCATATTTGCACAATTTAAATTACATATAAAATTTTCAAATTAATATATGTAAATTGTATTTCATAATAATTTTATATTTTTAATTTACATATATTATTTTATGAGCAATTTTAATTTATAAATATTAATAAATATTTCTACCCTCACACAGGATAAATACTAGTTATATTTATATTATAGTGTAAAAGAATTTGCGAGGTTGTAAATAAAATTTTGGGGGCAATTGCACCGAGATAACTCGATGTAAAGGTCGGCTACTTACCTCCGAACAAAATTATTTTTCTCTCTGTCTCTCTCTCCCCCAAATTACTGTTCAAAAGAAGACTGATAGCTATTAACAATGTGGTTGCGATCGGCCGTGAATAAGGCGGTGGAAGTTGGGAACAAGAACAACTTAACCCGCACTGTTAAGAACTACGCTGATTCGGTCGTCCATCATGCCGGTCAAGCTGTTGCTGATAGCGCCAAACTCTTCCAAGATCGCATTGTATATTGCTTCTATCTCAATCTCCATGACTTATTAGTGATTTTGAAAATGAATCTGAAACATAAATTAGTGGAGAACTGTATTTGCTTTGATTTACTAATTTATATGTGGAGGTTTTTCCCTATAATAATGTTTATCAGGGATTTTGACACATTGCTCCTGCTGCCATTTATCTAATTTTTAACCCTTTTCTCATTTTCTTAGAGAAATGAGCAGAAGTTGATTGTGGATTCATTGTCAGATTGTTCGGTTAAAGTTGTTGTACTCATTTTGTCTTTTGATGAAGAGAGTTCTTGTTCTGGCCAAGTTCTTATGTTGAAGTGAATAATTCTTTACAATAAGCATTGGTCTTTTACTAATCATTTCTTGAGATATAGATTTTGATCTTCATCTAAAACCTTGTGAAGCTATAAACATAGATTGAAAGGTTAATGGCTACTTGGACATATGAAAAGTGTGTACTGAATGCTAGAAGTGCTGATTACATGCAAATTCCAGATGGTTCTTACTGTACCTTTTCAACTATTCAGTTTCCTTTATCTGTAAACTTCCATTTGACTTTTCAGGTTGGTCGGAATTTTAGAAACTTCAAGCAGGCTGTAAAAAGGTTGGAAGAGGCTTCTGTCTCATGCAGGGGACGTGAGAGAGTTGAGTTAATGAGAAGATGGGTTGCTATTATAAAACAACTTGAAAAATCTTCTGGTAATACAAATGAAGAGAGTGAATCAAGTGATGAGAAACACCAGCTTCTTGATGAACCAAAAGTAAGCACAAGAAGACTATTAACGGTTGGCTCACTAGTTTCTTTCTGGCATCATTAAATATAAATCATAATTTTCTCCAACTTCCTAAAATCTTATGTATCATTTCAAAACTTCAAAACAATGATGCATGCCTTTGATAGGGAAGCACATATTATATTTACAATGAAAACAATAATACATGCATCAAGTAGAATGATTGTTATTAGGTGAAGTACACAAAATATATCCCCTTACTTAATCGAGTTAATCTAGTCTTAGGGCTTGGAATATCTTGATGCATGATTTCTATCTAGAATTAATATTTCAAACCTGCCACAAAAATTTGCAGTGGAATATAATATTCATTATACGGATGAAAAAGAACTTGTAAGGACTTTGAAGTTCAAATTGAAGTCCCATTTCCTTATATACGCATTTTTTTGTAGTTAGTGTTACACATAAAAACTCATATGGACTTTAAAACCGGCCCAATTCATATCACTAAAGGAATATCAAAGTTCTCCTACTGGCGTATAAATCCAAGAAGGAAACGTTCCAAGACACATCACTGTCGATCGCCCAACTTAATGGTCGATCCTAAAAAATGCCTATCCAACCTTGTATCTTTCCCTTAAAGAATGACGATTTCCCCTGTGTGGACGCAAAACGCAGAACCAGTAAAGCTGATAAAGCGACCACCCAGTCTGTCCCATTATCAAAATTCGAGATTTTGCATGTAGACACGCGGCTCCAAACCTTACGTCCTTAGCTTCCTATAACATTTGTTGTTCCAAAATCAAGATTCGGTCCAACCCTCTTACAAACCAGACAAATAATGCAAGTCCAAACACCAACAACCCATAAAGCACGCGAATGACCACGCGAATGACCTGGCTGAGTCTGCCGATCTCATATGGAAGATTTGGCGATCTCCCTCGCATATGAACGCTGAAGCCTGAACCAGTAAAGCTGGTAAAGCAACCGCCCGAATTGTCCCATCCTCAAAAGTAGAGTTTTGCATGGATAAATGCGATGTTAACCTATGCCCCTAGTTGGTACAAAACATTTATTATGTCATTACCAGTTCTACATTATATGATTAGACATGGAAACCACTATCCGTCATTATCGCAGAGTGTTCTGGCAGCTCCTCAAGGACATCTTTTCAACGACTTACTGCACCTAGAGGTAGCTCTCCATAACCTTGTAAGCATTGCTAGAAGACCGATCATAGTGTCGAGAATTATTAACTCAGCATCCAGAAAAGTTGGTTTGAGTCTCGTGCACGCCGTGTTGCTCGGTCTCGTAGTATGACTTTTGCTGCAATGGGTTACGTATATAGAGCTGTTGTCTTTCCTGTCTCTTCAGTCTTGGGTCCTCGATTCATGCTCTTCAGTCTTGAGTCCTCGATTTAGGAGCATCTTTTCATGTGATATTTGATCACTCTCATTTAAATTTGAATGAGAATATGTGTTTTGATCGAGCACGATGGCGACATGCGATCCCTATAGCCGGCTCCACTTAGTGGGATTTTAACGTCTTTTTGTTGTATGTATATAATATATCTAATTAAAATATGAACAATAAATAAAAATAAGTTTTTAAATTTTATATTTGAAATTTATTTTTTAGAATAATTTTATTTAATACTACCTCCTTTTTTAAATAAATGTCGTTTTGACTTTTTTGATTCATCCATTTTACTATGTATTTAGACATTAATATGTCTAGATACATAGCAAAATTGATGAATCAAAAAAGTCAAAACGACATTTATTTAAAAAAGGAGGGAGTATAATTTAATCATGGTTTATAGTATATAACATATATTTATTTGTTAATTATATTTTTTGAAAAAATGATTTTCATAGACATGAGAATGAATAAAAGTTGCATTTGCTATGGAATGGCTAATCCCATGGACATGTGTTTTGCAATTTCCATTGGAATGACCATTCATTTTAAAAAAATATACTAATCATGGGATAATCATGGGATAATGAATGAGTAAAGGAATGATCATGATATTCCCATGTCATTCTGTCATACCAATCATGCCATAAGACTTCGCTTGTATATAAATTTTGTCTGGAAAAATTTAATCACAACTCAAATCTAACTCAAATTTAACTCAATTTAACACTCTTCCATTTATCAATATAATTAAATAATGTCAACCAGTTATCACATCAACATCAACAACAACAACTGACAATAATTTTAACTACCTATCACTTTCAACTTTATTCATTTTATTTTAAATATTATTTTTAGTACAAACTCAAATCTCACCCGAACTTAACTAATTTTTTCAGAATTAACTGTGGTTAACAAAAAATAAAATAAAATCAAAACTCAATCTAACTTGTATCCAAGCAAGCACTAAGGTTTCTACTCATAGGATATATTTGCATAATATTACATTTAACTTCTCCCTTACCACCCACCCACACAGATAGAGTGAGAGAGCGGATGTAGACTGTAAAAAATGAAAAGCTGTAACACGTTCCATATTGTGGACGACATGGAGATGGAAGGCAGCTTACCTGGCTGGTTCTGTCATTCTAATTTATAAACCTTTTATGTTGTACCACTTTTGAATCTCTGCACCTTAGGAATTCTGACAAAAAAGTGATATGCCTGTTTTTTCTGTAACAGGCTCTCTTATGCGAAACAGAATCATTTCTATCAAAATTGTTAATCTTGTAATTAGATCTAATTTGATTGCATTCGTGATTGATTTGCTGAATCTGGCTGTTTGATATGTTTTTTTTTTTTTTTTTTTTTTTTTTTTTTTTTTTTTTTTTTTTTTTTTCATGGATCCAATTATTTTATGTAATCTTTCAAATAGCAGGTGCAGTACTATGACTCAGATGGTGGAGGTGAACGAAGGACCTTTCTGGATGTCTTTCTTTACAGTCAGGCTTTGGAGGGTATCTCCATATGTATGGTATGTAATTTGATGATACTCTGTGTTTGAAATTTTGAGATTTGATATCATAAATCAGAGATTATGATTTGATTTGGATTTTAGAATATTTGATCTCTTCATATTTTTAGTATATTTTATTTCTTTTTTTTGCTCCTTGAATCAAGGAGTCCTTCTATCTAAAGGCATGGTGTAAATCATAAAATAATATGAAAATGTACTTTCTTCTCTCCACTTTCTCCTCTTTTTTCTTCATAGTATCAACCCTAGGTTTCAGTCTAGGGTTTATTTCCAATGGCAGACCAAAGTACATGGAGGACCCCATTAACTGGGGGAGATGAACAGGAACTTTATGGTTCAAGCTTAAGTGCCTGGAAACGTTCCATGTTCAACAATACGGAATGGTCCACCAATTCACTTATAGGGAATATTCATGAAAGAAATTATATAGAAAGATCACAGACCGTTCATTCGATCTTAGAAGGCAAGAGGAGGTTAGGCTATGTGATAGGAGAAGTAAAAAAACCTGCATATGGGGATTCGAATCTGAAGGCTTGAAAATAAAAAAAGTTCCATGCTTATTGCGTGGAGATTAGGCTATGTGATAGGAGAAGTAATGAAACCTGCATATGGGGATTCGAATCTGAAGGCTTGGAAATAAAAAAGTTCCCTGCTTATTGCATGTTTAATAAATTCATGGAACCCGCAATTGCCAATGCCTTCATGTTCCTGCCAACAACCTAGGATGTCTGGAATGCAATTTGAGATACATATTCAGACCTAGAGAATTCTTCGCAAATTTTCAGCTTAAAGTCCAAACTTTGCCATGCGAAGCAGGACGATCGAGGTTATGTTTGGTAAATTTAGCTGATAAGTAGCTAACTTATAGTTTTTAAGTGAATTTCGAGCTTATAGCTGATAACTTATGACTTACGGCTGAAAAAGCTAGCTTATATGATAAATCTCTGGTAAAATTTGCTGATAAGCTAGCTGAAATAAAATTTCAATCTGCTTAATTGAAAAGCTACCCAAGAAATCTTATGAGATCTACCTACTACAACATGTTGGTGACCTTGTGGCAGGAGATTGATCTATGTTATGATGATGTCTGGGAGTGCGCGCGAATGACCGTGTTAAGTTTGTGAAACGACAAGAGAATGAGTCTTCATGTTCAGGACTGATTAATTGAAGTACGAGGTCGAATTTTGGGAAAAACTCCTCTCCCAACCATAGGTGAAGCGTTCTAAAAAATGTTCATCGAGAAGAAGCATGACAAAGTGTGATGCTTAATAAGAAGCATGCCGCGGCTACCGAATCTGAAGCTGAAAGGTCAACACTTGTAACCCAACAGAGTCTTCAGGATAAAGCAAAAAAAGAGGTAAAGCGTGCTGAACAACTATGGTGTGACACGCGACATTTTGGAAAATTCATGGAAAGCCTCAAAACTGGAAAAAGAAGTTTAAGGGAAAGAGGCGGGCAAGCTAGTGTTTCTGGTTAATAGCAAACATCTCCTTGAAGTTCATTTCCTTTCTCTAGGAGGAACAAATAGACCAACTGCACAAACTTCTTGAGTTTCAAAGCACTCACTCTTGCCCACTAGCTCAGACATGTAACTATTTAACTATTTGAAAGCAACCTTTGTTAGCGTCATGTCAGGTCACACTTGGATCATTGATTCATGTGTGCACGCGCACATGACAAGGTTGTCTAGTCAATTTTCTTCATATATCTTTTGTGCAGGAAATCAAAAATAAAAATTGCAGATGGCTCTCACGAAAAGGCACCATTGTAGTATCTTCTTCACATACTCTTCATGATGTCCTTCATGTTCCCAAGTTTTCTTGAATCTTATCTGTTAATAAGTTTGCATCTACGGAAAATTGTCTAACCAATTTTTTCCCAACTCATTGTGTACTTCAGGATTTGACTTCGGGGAGGATGATTGGCAGTGCTAGGCAAAGTGGAGGACTTCACATCTTTGACTATGAGTCTGAATTGAGGCAACAATCCCATCAAATAAATTCTTGCTTTGACTGAACTTTTGTTCTTAGTGGTAATAAAGATATCAGAAATGCTATGGAGCCATCGAAGGGTTCTCTTATGGAGCCATCCATAACTTTATGTATTGACACGTGTCCAATGTGTATTTATTGCATGACACGTGTCAATACACCATTTGTAGATAACTACGGATGACTCCATAAGCCGAGCCATCCGATGGCTCTATAACAAAACCAATAATGATATTATGTTATGACATTTTAGACTGGGTCACCCAAGTTTTACATATTTGAAACACTTATTTCCCAAGCTGTTTGGCAATGAAGATCCATCTTTGTGAAATTTGTGTGCTTGCATAGTAAATCTTTTCCTTCGCATTCATATAAACCATCCAAGCCTTTTAATATCTTTCACAGCGACGTATGGGGTCCGAATAAAACAAGTAGATGTTTTCAAAAGAGATGGTTTATCACATTTACTGATGATCATACTCGACTATGTTGGTTGTATCAAATGGAAGAAATCAAAAGTAGAACAAGTTTTGAAAAACTTCTATTAACGTGGTGCATACTCAATTTGAGACGAATATAAAAGTTTTTAGAAGCGACAATGGGAAAGAGTATCTTAACATGGCCTTGGGCAATTTTTTTTCTTGAATAAAGAATAAGTCATCAAAGCATTTATTGGAAGTGGCTCGTGCTTTACTCTTTGAGGCGAAATTTCCAAAATATTTACGGGGCGAGACTATTTAAACTGCGCATATTTTATAAATAGACTTCCCTCCAAAGTTTTATAATTTCGAAATTCTTTTGACATTTTGACACAGTTTTTTCAAGTGCTAGACTTTCAAATCGTTTAGCCATAAATTTTTTCGGTTGTGCAGCCTTCGTTCATGATCATAGAAAATTTGGAAAAATTGAACCCAAAGCCATTAAATGCGTTTTTGATGGTTCCTCCCCAACTCAATAAGGCTATAAATGTTTTTACCCAATTTCGAAAAAAACTTGTGTCTATGGATGTCACATTTTTTTTGAAAATAAACCATATTATTAAGGACATTCCATCTTCATGGGAGAATCCTAATGAGGATTCATTCATATACTCTAGCTTAAATAATTTGTTTTTTTCAACTGATTTCGAGCACAATACCCTTGCACTAACAATAAATGGCAAGGATTCGATCTTAGAGACTCCTCAAACAACGAGAGATCTTTCTTCTGAATTGTGGCTTACACTTGAAAATCAATCTAAAAACATTTCTGGGAAACAATACATGGAAAATGAAAGTGATAAGCAACCTGCTATAATGCCAAGAAGATTTAATAAAATTGACAGAACTTTGAAAAGGACTGTTTACGCAAAGAAGAATCATGAGAAAAAGAAGAATGAATCTACTGCACAGCACGGCCATGATTCCGACCCAAGGACAGATCAACATCAAGATTCTGGTAAATATCTCTTTAACACTCATTTAGAGCCTTTGATCTGAACATTCCTATAGCGCTCTTCGTAAGGTCAGGTGTTGTACAAGTCATCCTATGTTCAAGTTTGTATCATATTCAAAATTATCTTTAGCTCTTCTTGCTTTTACCTTTCAGCTATCGACTGTAGATATTCCTAAAAATGTGCAGAAAGCTCCTGAAGTTCCTAAGTGGTAGGAAGCAGTACTAGAAGAGATGAGAGCTCTTGAGAAGAACAATACTTGGAATGTTGGGGCCTTACCAACATGAAAGAGTACCGTGGGCTGTAAATGGGTCTTTACTGTGGGTTGTAAATGGGTCTACAGAACTACAATTCGGATGGTTCAGTCGAAAGATACAAAGCTAGGTTGACGGTCAAGGATTCGCACAGAAATACAACATTAACTACTCTGAGACCTTTGCCCCAGTTGCAAAATTATACTCAGTAAGAGTACTTTTATCAATTGCCACCAATTTAGGCTGGCAACTACAACAAGTAAATGTGAAAAATGCATTTCTCAATGGCGATCTAGAAGAAGTATACATAGACAACCCACCCACTTGGTTTTGAAGACAAATTCGGTTCAAAAGTGTGCAAGCTAAACAAGTCATTCTATGGTCTCAAACAATCTCCGAGTACTTGGTTCGAAAGTTCACAAAATCAGTCAAGAAACAATGATACTCTCAGGGATAAGCGGGTGACATTATATATCTTACAAGTTCTCTCCTGGAGGAAGAGTTGCTATCCTAATAGTTTATGTTGACGACATTATTCTCACATGATGAAAACAGCCTTGCAGCAGAATTTTAGATCAAGGATTTGGGAGCGCTTAGATATTTTCTTGGTGTGGAAGTTGCTTTTCAAAAAAAGGTATTTTCGTGTCTCTTAGAAAATATATCCTGGATTTGTCGAAGAGAACTGGGCTGAGTGGCTGTAGGCCGGTGAGACGCCTATGGATCCTAATGTGAAACTTTTTGCGAAAGGGAGTGTTCCAGAATGGTAGGTACCATAGATTAGTTGGGAAGCTGATTTATTTATCTCATACTAGACCAGATATTGCCTTCCCGGTCAGAGTTGTCAGTCAATTTATGCACGCACCTTATGAAGAGCACCTTGATACTGTTTATCGAATTTTGAGATACTTGAAGTCCACTCCTTGGAAAAGGTTTTTTTTCGAAAAAAAATCTGATAAAAGGAGCGTAGCTGATGCAAATTGGGCTGGTTCAGTTATCGAAAGAAGATTTATGGGGAAATCTGGTTACATGGAGAAGCAAGAAGCATATTGTTGTTCCGAGAAGTAGTGCAGAATTCAAAGAAATGGCTCAAGGAATTTGTGAGTTATTATGGATTTCAAGAATAGTCAATGAACTAGAAAAGGCTGCGCAACTCACTATGAGATTGTACTCAAACAACAAGGCTGCAATGAGTATTGCTCACGATCATGTCCAACATGATCGAACAAGAACATTGAGATTGATTGACTCTTTATTAAGAAAAACTTGGAAGCTGGGGTCATTTGTCTTCCGTTTGTTCCTTCTTGTCAGCAAACAATCGACATCTTCACTAAGGGGCTATCAAAATCTCACTTTGAACACTTAATAAACAAGTTGGGGATGATTGATATCTATGCACCCACTTGAGGGGGAGTGTTGGAAAGTTTGAGATTTGATATCATAGAATCAGGGATTATGATTTGATTTAGATTTTTAGAATATTTGATTTCTTCAGATTCTTAGAATATTTTATTTCCTTTTTTGCTCCTTGAATCAAGGAGACCTTCTATTTAAAGGTATTTAAAGGCATGGTGTAAATCATACAATAATAAGAAATAATAGTTTCTTCTCTATAGTTTTCTCTTCATTCTTCTATTTTTTCGGCACTCCCTAAATTAAGTATATATATGATGTTCAGCCACATTTGGCCTTTTCTAAAGCTATATCATCCAGTGTTATCAAATGGCGGCCATGGCGTGGTGGATTTTTGACAATCCACCATGGTAAATTTGTGAAGGATGGCTGTTATGATGGCGCCATATGCCTTTTGATTTCTTTTGTATTTCTGATTCTAAGATAAACTATGCTTTCTTAGTATTTGATACAAAAGTCCTGGCTGGGTACTGTGACCTGGCCGGGTCGTCCGAATAAAAGTAGCATGGGCCTTACAAACAAAATCAATACAAAACAAAGAGGTCTTCCTTATTTTTCTTTAGATCTATGGTTGAAGTGTCCTTTTGGTTTTAGATAAAGGAAATTCCTTGCAAAGGTCTTTGAGAAGATTCATATACCACTGGTGCAAAAATCCTGCCTTAGCGTCATTGTGGCCTGTGGTGCTGCCATCCTTCTCAAATTCTTGCGACGGTTAGGCAGAAATTCGTCATGCCATACCACCTCGGTGCCACACTGGCAGATATTCGATAACACTGAAATGGCCTAGTAACTAATCGACATGGATAAACATAGCCTCAAACATTGCCCTCATATGTATGGTGCCAATCCAAATGGGCCAAGTCCAAACCCAGAATTGCCTTCAAACAAATGAATATGAGTGCCTGATACCATGTGAAATGGGCCTAGGTAGCCTCATCGCCTAGAGGTACCTTAAAGGGAGAGGGTGCCCACCTCAAACTTATACACAATATCAACCCAATAACTAATCGATGTAGGATAAACATAACACATAAACAAAGTGAAGTCATAAATTTGGGTTTATGTGCAGTTCATGAACGGATATACATCTTTCATTTGTTTGAATACAATATCCCAGTGCTGTTATTTATTAGCTTATGTAATCAGATGTGTGAGTAACTGTACAACGGTGTATGCCTTTACAAATTATGTTTAAACTGCCTGCGGACTATATGCTTTACTGAAAATGCAACATTTCAGGTTATTGTGCTATGGAACAGAGATATGCATTAATGAGAAAAGCCCTTCTATCTTTACTTTTGATTGGTCAAGCTTATGTCTCTACGTCATCGTAACTGCAAGTCTGATTAATCTTGGACTGGGTGGACTTTGATTGTGGTTGGTTTTCCCTTTTTATTTGCTTTAGATTCTTGAAGCCCCAAATGAAGAAGAAGTTTCTCTGCTACTTGAGTTGTTTAGGTGAGTTGTTTCTCTCTGTCACTAGTGTGATGTTAGGCTTAGCTGAGAGTGGTTATCTTTTTGCATTATTGGAACATGTGAGGCGACTGAATAATGTACTCAATATTTCTTGAACATTTACTGAGAGAGGTTATTTTTCTATTTTATTGGAAAACGTGAGGTGAATCATCATTGTACTCGATATATGTTTAACATTTTGCCCAGCAGTCTTTGTCTTTCAGGAGGGAAAGAAGTTCATTACGCAATTGTGAGCAGCATTCAGGATCTTGCAAAAGCCTTTTCCAGCTACCAAGATGAAGTATTGGTACAACTTAAAATACTTGCCTTGCTCCCTTGTAACTGACTAATTGTCGACATTGAAAATAATTTTTTTAGATTGTACTTAACATAGGACATGCACACATTAAAAACATTAAATTTCACTACCATAAATCATAATATGTGGAACGCTTGATGATGCAAATGTGACCATTCAAAGCTCAAAGTCTTGGTGTGAAAACTAGGGCTGAAGCTGAAATTTAATTACCTTAACATTTAATTCAACGTGTCTGAAGTATGCGCCTATGCAGTCGCTAATAATTTTCAACGAGTAGGTTAAGAGAGAAGAACTGCTTCAGTTTGCTGAAGGAGCTATTACGGGATTAAAAGTGAATGCTGATCTTCAAAGGTAATACAGAATGCCCAGTTCTGTGTCTTTTTGGTACTATGGTACCTTTACAAGAAAATTTGATAGGTCCAAGTTAGTCTACACTGGGTATCCCATATTTTAACCCGCTGACAGCAGTGTTTTCTTGTTAAAATTTCGGTCCTAGATGTGTGTTGTTTTAGCGGGGAATAATTACCATGATGAAGTTTCTGATGCAAAGCATTCAAAATAAAAGAATAAAAATGTAAAATCAATTTAAATCAATATAATAACTGTTATGCAGTGTAATATTCTCTGCTCTTAATTCACTTGTTTGATTTGCATTTGCAAATGTATTGAGGCGATTGGATATGTTTTGAAACACTTGTGTTCAGTTTGCCACTGAGATGTTTTTTTTAGGTGGGAAATTTGAAGTGTGATTGGTGTGAGATGGAGATTTAATGATTAAAGTTTTGATGTTGAAATAATAGAACAATGATTGGTAGGTAGCAAATTTCGAATAGATAAATAGGAAATTTTATAGAGAAATGTGTGCTAATGATTGATTTTTACTTAAATTGTATTAGAAAACATGAGAGAATTGACTACCTCAGTAAGTGCAATTAATCAGCACTTATTATGGGATTGACTTTTAGAACATTAAAATTTCAAACTCTTTTCGGAAACTTGTAAAGCTTGTTTTCATGCTATCCTACCTTAATTTGATTGAAGATCATGGAGTATCTGACCTTATGTCATGATCTATACCTGCAAACAGAATTGATGCCGAAGTTTCCACATATAAGAAACAACTCGAATCAAGAGCATCACATTATCATGTTAATGAGGGTCATCAAACAAACATGAAACAGAGCACTGCTGAAGCAGTAGAGGTGAACATTCTGCACTGATCTATTCTTTTATAAATTTGTTGTTTTGTTGTTAGGTGTGTTATGTTCTTAAATGAATAGTATGTTATAGGTGTTGGAAGTTTGTAGGTGAATTCTTTCTTGTTTCGTGTTCTTTAATGCTATATGATATTACAAAAGGCTTCATTTGTTGGGTGAAAGCCTCATATACTAAGTCTTCAGTCTCTAATCTTTGTGCCCTTCACGCGATTATATAATTACTTTACATAAGTAATTGATTATGCATTTAGTTATTTTTTGACGTAAAATTTATAAGTGAATATTATTTTGTAAAGGACAAAGGGTAAGGAATTCATTAGAATAATTTAATTTCCCCCCCTCCTTTCGTGACTCTTAAATTTAAGTAACTTAGCAAAAGGCTTTTCACCTTTGCTGCTAGTGGTGGCTATCATGAGGTTGGGTGTCATTAATTTTGCTTTATTGTTAGTTCTAGAAGTGCAACTGCTTTATACTTTCATGGGTCTGTTCTTTTCTTAACCGTTATTTGGTTATACTTGTCTAATATAACCAAATTAGAAGGTATCCAATATTGTGGATTCTATTTTTCCTATAGCTTTATATGTAACGTTCTCCGGTTTAAAACCTTACATTCATATATTTACGTTATTCAACTGAGAAATACAAACCTTCTATTACCCTGTGAGCAGTAGATAGAAAAAAGAGAGACTAATTATGCTAGTATGGAAGAGAACTTTATTGGCTAGAAGGGAGAAAAGGGAATACAAGACCCGGAATAGTTCTCGATGGTTGAACCTTGCCCAGCCACTAGGCCGATTACAATGCTAACTCGTCTGCCCTTTCTCAACTCCTAATCCAATATTCCATAATATTATCGTCCTAATTTATACGCTAGAATTTATTAATGTCCATAACTCCATCCCCTAAATTATTAACTAAAATCATGGGAAGTCATCAATCAAGTTGAGTATTTTCTACTTTCCTTCTACGGGTATACACCAAAAAGGTAGGTGCTTGATTCTCTCCATCAATTGATGCTAATGCCTGTGGTCTATTTTGAAAAGTCTAAACTTAAATGATAGCCACTAAGTAGTAGTAGTTTCATTCTCTCTGAGGAGAAAATTCCAATTGGCAGTTTATTTTGAATCTTGATACTGAAGACAATAACTACCTTTAGGTGTAATTTTGTGCTCATAGCGATAGTTGTATTTTAATCATGTTGTTTCTTGTATATTCTAGTTTCTATATTTCTCTCACATAAATACTAAAGATGAGTTTGATAGTTAATCATTGAGAGTGCAGGTTCAGTTGTGTGCTTAGTAGGATGGCAGTAATAAATTATTGATCCTAATAATATTGTTAATAACAGATTGTAAATTACTTCACGGTCAAGAAAAACATTAACTATATTATGGTGCTATTTTTCTTATAACAACAAAGATTTAGGGAATAAATTGAGGACCATTCATGACCTTATGTTTCCCTTTAGTCTAGGAATTTTACTTCAGTTTTTTTTTTTTTTTTTTTTTTT